AAGTTGAACGGGCTCTGACCGACCAATGAGTCATGGTTATTACAAACTCTGCGATATGTCTGTTTCTGGATTGGATTATTGATTAGGATAAAATTTGATTCAACAAAACGCTTTTTGGGAACAAAACCGCTCGTGTATTCAACGATTTTGAAACACAAATCATTTTCAATAGCTTGAAAAAAGCAGTTGTACTGCATTCACATCTTTGTGAACTGCAAAAAAAAATAGATAGAAAAATAGATAATATATAGAAGAATTGTTTACCAACGGATCTTGTTTTTCGATTAAAAATATTTTTATGATTTTATTTGGCTTAGTTTTTTTTGTTCTTTGATTTAGATTTTGTCTACCATTACTTTTTACTATCACTTTCCGGGTCTTTTACATTTTTTTGAGACTTATAAGTTATCTCACGAAAATCACTCAGAGAATGAACTCTCACCTAAGATTATCGAAAGAAAAAAACAGTGATAAAAATTCTTATCAGAAAAAAAATCAGAGAACGCTGCTTTTTGTGTTTTGAAATTTTGTAGATTCTGCGAGATGCTTAGAACATAATCTGCAATGTTTCCCACCGGAGACTGGACTGCTGATGTATGTTTACCTGATGTTGAGAGAAACAGGCACTTAAAATTGTTTTTCTTGAGTTTTCATTATTGTCAAGAAAATAATTGATTTTTTTTATTTGTTAGGTCAAAACTTATAGTAAGATATTACTAGGATATTTATTTAGGATAAACTTATGTAAGATATCAGAATTTTCATTCTGCATAGAAGTTTAGAGCTAAAAAGTAGATTAATATTGGGTGAAATTAAAAAAGCTTAGATGTTAAGGTATTTGCTCGAAACTTGGAACTTGTACATCCATAGCAACATTCTTCATTATATTACTTCTAGAAAAATACTATGAGTTTTTGATGTTTTCGGTACTGCAGCTCAAAATACAAAATTTTGCCAAAATTAGAAAAAAATTTGTCCAAATTATTTTTATTCCGATCTACAGATCAGAAGAAGCCACAATTTTATATGGTTGTTAGAACTTTTCTTATACGGTTTTAATTATTCCTTACATGATTCGAGCGTTTTGAAATGATGGATTTTTTCCGTTTTTAATGAATTGCGGCAGTTAAAAAAGGACACGTCAAAGCCAACAGAAGTTTAACGGGCTAATTCTTTTGTATGACCCCCTTTAAACAGTTGAATTTTTTGAATTATGACTCAAAATATATTACTATTTATTGCAGATTATTTTTTTTTGAATTTTAATAATTATTATTTTTTTTAATTTAAGAGGAAATTCGGCGGAAATACTTTATTCCAGGTATTTTGCGATAACTTAAATCAGCTGCTATTGAAAATTGCGGTATCGGACACAAACAAGTTTCAGTTGGTAGTCTGGCTCGCAAAGAGTTTTGAGGCAAGAAAATTGACTTTACTTTCGCATCTAGGACACTCCGCTCACGAGCTAATACCGCATAATATATTGTGCGTCAATTTTCCCAAGTTTGCCATATTGGCACATCCTAAACCTTCATAACTTCACAAAAAAAAATCGCAGGTGAAATTTTCTTTTGAGTTTGAGCTCACGACAACAATACCTTTCGGCAGATATGATTGAATTTCTCAAAATGACTAGTTAACAAAACGAAACTTGTCTGAACAAAAGAAACTGCCATTAATAGTTATTTTATTCAGAACTTCCTGCGCTATTTGCGTTTCATGCTGGCCTTTTAGTAGGGTGGAAAAGTACAAAGATTAAGTTGGGCTTATGCTCGGCCAGTTTTTATTCCACCTCGCGCATAGCTACTATAGGTCAAGTCAACTTTCAAATTAGATTTTTATGACCTAACTCGATTTTGAAAAAACAAATTCTAAGTTTTCATTGTCAAAAACAAACAAGTTTGAATGTCTCGATATTGAGATTAGAGAGGAATAATAATCCGTCAAATTGACTATTGAAAAATTCGAAAAAAACTTGAGCAAAATAACCATGTCGAGCACAAATCGAGCACTTTCTTCGAGCACTTTCTTCGAGAGTCGGAACAAAGAGAAACCCATTTTGACAGGTTACCGAAGCTCTTTTCATTTAATCGCTTTGTCTAAGTTCAATGTCTAAGTTAATTCCTTTCTAAATTTTTAAAACTTTTTTTTTCTAAAACAACTACTTGTTATAAGTTTTCAAGTTTGGAGTTTTGTGGAAATTTCAAATTTATTTGGTTTCCGACCATAAAAATGATATTGAAGTATGAAACTGACTGTTATCATTTCTAATTGATCCATGCAAGATCAAGTGTCACGAATGCAAGTCTTAAGTAGTCAAGTTATAGGTATCGAATTACGAAGCCCTCATTTCTGATTAACTCTCAATTCTTGAGGTTGAAAAAAGTCAGAACTTCGTGTGATGGCGATTTTTATGCTAAAATTTTTGCTGTTTAGACAATTCAAGAACGAATTTTCAAAATAAATATCTCTTAAAGGCATCGGAAAACCACATTTTTTTGTTTGAAGTTACCTTGCTTATTTCCAACTTTTGAATTAATTCTAAAATTTTCCAACCGCTAACAAGAAAAAACATTAACTAAGAAACTTCAAATATTTTATTCAGTTTTTATTTGCAATAATTATTTCTAATCTTTGTGCGGTACTTGCTTTTCGTGCTGACATTTTAGTGGAAAAGTACTATGATTAAGGTTGGTGTTTGCACGGTCATTTTTTTAAACCTCGCAGATAGCTACCAGGGGTCAAGTCAGGTCTCATATTTAAATTTTTTGTCCTAAAAAAAAACGATTTTTTTTTCAAGTTTTCAGTGTCAGAAAAACTAGTTTCAATGTCTTGACATTGTGATAAGAGAGCGGATAATTATCTTTATTCGTATGACTTTTTTTGAATAAAATGGCAGTTTTTTAATGAAAAGATTAATTTCACAAATAATTGTAATTGTTGAAAAGAAAATAACCAAAATTGGGCTCACTTTATGGAAATTTATTAAAGGATTTGGGTGAAAATTTATTTGTGGAATTCATATCGTCTTTTTTCACATTTGTTTTCAGCTCACATCACCAATACGTCTTCCTACTGCTCTCTTATTTCTTTAATTAATAAATTTTCGTCGCCTGAACTGAGGAGTTTATGCCGTTTAATCCCAGACATTATCTCAGATTACTATCTGTTTGCTTCCTTTTCCACACAAATTAGAATGCCGCCAATGTTAGCACGGGTTCAGTTTTCACAATAACAGCTAGACTTCTGTAGCTAACAAGTACTTGTTGCTTGCCTTTTTGTTCCGACTTTCGTAACGAAAGTAACTGAATATTTGTGCTCGGGGTGGGTTTTTTTTTCTTCAGACAAGTTTCGACTTTTTTAACTAGCAATTTTTGACTGAATTTTTGAAAGTAATTCCAAAGGTATTGCTGTCTTGAGTTTCAACTTGGAACGATAATTCACTTGTGATCAATTTTTATAAATTTATGGGGGTTTAACGATTGCCATTTTGCCCAAAATGGGACAACTGACGCGCGATATATTTCGCGCTGTTAACACGTAAGTGCAGATTTATTCCGTCTCGGAAATCGTGCCAAATTGGTTGAATGAAGCCTATTTGCCATTATTGATTTGATAATAGGAGCAAAATTTACCACTTTGTATTTTATATGATGCGGGGGGATGCTTTCACAAAAAATCTCAGTTTTTTTTTTTAAATTATTTTAATTTTTTTTTTTACATTTAACTTTTTCATGTTCCTACTGCTCCATAGACCTTCAAAGGCAGTCGGAACATTCAAAGCTTCGCCCTGATAGGAGCAGTTTTGTTTGCATCTATTCTCGTCTGAAAAAATTTACGGTAGCGAAAGCCAGGACTTCTGCATTTCTCTATATTTGAGTGTAAAGAGATATGCAAAACCTGTACTTTTTATTAGTTCACCAAATTAAAAACCACTCTAAAGTCAAATACTATTTATTTCAATACATATTCGAAGCAGTTTTCACCATCTTGAACTAAATTGAAAAACGTATTCTGGTGTTTGTAACGTGATATGATGAACACTATGAACCGCCCATTTTCAAATGAAAAAGAAATCAATTCAGCTCAATTCCTTCCAGCCCCGTTTGGAGTAAAGTGCTCCAAAGATTAAGTGGCACACTTAAAAAATCCAATCCTTCCTCAGTTCCTTTTTTCATTTCACATGTCAACTTAAAAATTGGTAAACATTTGCTGTTCATTGAAACTTTTGTTGATTTTTCAATTCTTTTCATTTTCTTTTTGTCGACTTTTTTTTGCAAAATCGAAATCCTTGGGGATTTAGACTTTGCCCGTTATTTGACATATTGGCGCTGCCAATTTTTTCGCGGCAATAAAAATAAAAAACACCTTTTTAGCTTAGATTAGGACCAGTTTTCACAAAACTTGCCACTATCGAAACAACAATATTTCGGTTTAAAGAACATATTCTCAGCGGCCGTCAAACCTATCAACTGAAGAACAATTTTCTTATGTTAATTTTCCTCAACTCCCGTAGTTTTTTCACACAAAGTGGGCTGGAAAGTAATAACTTATATCAGTGATAAATTATAAATTTCCCAATGACATCAGAACTGGTTCGTATAACACGCTGGGATCAGGTATGTAGCGCTATTGGATATAGATTCACTGAATCTAAAACCCAAATCTAGATTTAAAAGTTAGTACAGGTTTTATGAATTTATTAACTCAAGAATACCATGATTCTGGGCTATTTGTCTATCAAAATTTGCAGTTAGTTGTCACCTGGATTTGAAATAGAGGCTCGAACTTTTATTTCAAGTTATAAATTATATTTCAACTCACTTCCTGGTTAGAAGCGCCCGATCCCCTTCGAGTTTTCCTGCCAAATTGTTTTGTTTTCCTTAATACCGGCAAATAAAACCTCACTTTAACTATCAAAGGTAAATTGAAGTTTTGACTGAAAGCAATTTCAAAGATTTCTGAATTCAATCAAAACGAGAAACTTCATTACAATTTTATTAGAATCAAAAACCTAAGAAATCTTTCAAACCTTCTTCAGAAAATGTGATTTTTCAAAACTTAGGGAAAAGGATTTTAGATTATATTTAAAATCATTGGCTGAAATAGTCGTTTGAGCAAGAATTCGATGCAATAAATTGAGCACAAATCCACACAGCTTAAAATTGCCAACAGTTTCTCAATGTTTTGCAATAACCCCGGCCAGCTCTTCAGATCCAAAAACCCTTTCTAATCTCACACCAGCGAAGTTTGGATTAGATCTAACTTATCACTAACTTATGAAGACATTTATACCCTCCTTAACAATCCTCGACTCGCCATTCTATTTGCTTTTCACCCCACAGATTTGTATCTGCTACAAAAACAGCTTCAGAGCCGCCATTTTATAGATAAGTCAGATTACAGGGTATGTCAACTCATACATTTCTGATTAAAATAAGTTTGTGTAAAATCGATTTCCAGTTTTTTCATGTGGTTTGTTAACTTCTGTTTTTTATTAAGTTCACCACCCCCTGCGAATAGAAAAACAAGAAGAGAAAAATTCTTTAAAAATTAAAATCTATTTTTTTTATCAGGATTGATAATCCAGTTGAAAATTTCTCTGCCATAACTATTTGAATCACTTTGCATTCTGTTTTTTTTTGCAAAAAGTTCCCTCAAATCAGAAGAGAAAAAAAACCTGGATGAAAGAACAAATTAACATTATTTTTTAAAAATTATTCCAAGAATAATTTCAAAAATTTAGATTTTTGGCTATATCTTGAGTAGCTGACATTCAAAAGAAACTCCTGTAACTTCCAAAAATTTTTAGCTAACTTTGCAATCGATTAAAAAATTAGTTCTCTAACAAATTCTTCAAAAAAGAAAATTCATTTATCAGTAATTGGAGACATCTATCATTTCAAACCGAAGGGAACAAAAAAGAAGCCGTGACCGAATGAATAGTTATAAAGTCTCCTCTAATCTAGTTTCAACTGTCAATTATGCCGCGAGATAGATTCTAATTTGATTCAATTTATCTAATTTTTACCAATTTCTCAATTCTTTTCAATTTCAGATTAATTCACAATGAAGACTGACCTTAATATCAGGTGCCGCAGCAAATAGGAACTGTGAGACCGACGCAAAATGCAACCCGTTTAATCTCTAGCGTGAGGAAAAATTTGCTGAAAATGACGGACCGATTCGTCGTTCAGACAGGTAAGCTTTAGAATGTTAACCCATTTTAATTTTCAAATTTAAAACAAGTATCGTCGGTTACCCTGCAAATAGCATAGAATATTTTCAAATATTTGGCTTGTAAATATAAATTTTAAAAAATTTCATTTTTGAGTTACAAATTTCTGGCTCGAAACTAAAAAAAAAATTAGAAAAATTAGTTTTATAAAATCGACAAGCAAACAAAAATTCATTTTTCCGGGTTGACCTCCATAGACTGAATAAGCTATTCATACAATTCCATAAACTAAGTCTGTAAGAAAATACTAGTCATACATATTTCATGCGTTTTGCTAAAATGAAGTCCTTGAACTTTCAAAGATTTTTTTCTTGTTTTGGCAATAAAAATCGGTTTATTGTCATAAGTAAAGAAAGAAAAATTTTTGTCGGGCTAACCACACAATTTCCATATAGGAAAATCCTATGACTAGCAATTTTGTGATGGCGATAGAAAAATTTTTTCTAAGTAGTATGAAATCACCCTAAAAAAATTTTTTTTTCAATCGCAAAATGAATTTTGTACTCGAACAAACACTCTCTTAAAAGTTTTATGCATGTAAAAACTGTTTTTTTTGTGTGTGTATGCATATCGAAGTGCTGGATGCACAACATTTTTTTCTCTTTTTCTTTTTAGTAACCAAGGACCAAGGTCTTTGCCACTTGTGTTCATTAACGAACAGAACACAAAACTTTTGAGAAATAAAATTTTAAATGATCAAATTGTTAGTATAACGGCAATTTTCCGTATTTATTACATTTGAATATGAAAGTGTTTTCCACTTGAAAATTGTATGATTAGCAATTTTGGTCAACCCGGGTTGTTACCAGACTTAGTCCTCTGCAAGTTTCGAAGTAGTCAAAACCGGTTTAAAAATATAGTGGAAAAATGACCCTAAGACATAGTTCCTTTCCACTCATCGAGAGGAGTCGGAACATTTACCGGGTTAACAAAATGTACTATCTTCGAAAATTCCCTTGTCAATCTTAACATTTCAAAAAACCGACATGAAAAAAATAAAAGATTGCTGATGTTTTTCATAATGTGTCGCATTGAGTTTCTTTCTGTTCATGTTTTGTTTAATTTTGAAAACAAAATGGTGAAAAAAAGACTTTCGGCTCAGCTATTTTTCTAGAAGTAAGAGCAGTTATATTAAAGAAATGTAGGACATTGATTACTAAATTGAAACGTTCAAGTCCTATGTTGTTATCCAAGTTTGACTTTAAGAGACACACAATCTCTAATAAAAGAAAATACAAATAACTTTCAAATTTAAAAAATCGAAAGTTAGTTTGTAATCGCAAAACTTTTTTTCCATGAACAGAAAAGCTACGTTTCAAAACCCATATAGTTTTGCTAGACACGCACTCTTATTAATAAAATTTTTGGGATTTTCAATTTTTTTGAAGAGGATTTCAAAGACGCTGTTGGCCAGCTGATGTTCTGTGAAGTAATTTTCTGCAAAGGAAGTCCTTGAAAATATGAGAATTTCAAATCGAGCGTTTTTTCAGTAGAACTAAAACGTTTATGACATTCCAAGTGAAAACTTCAGACACGCCCAAATTGAGATAACTTAGTGTCGCAAAATCATTTGTATAATCAAGCAAAGTGTATCAAGAAAATGGCTCAAGCTCTCTTTTGCTGAAAATTAACCTTCAATTTTTTTGTGTATAAGGTTTAAAGATGCCCAAAAATTAGAAACATTTTTCATCTTGTCTTGTTTCTTTTGTACTCAACAAAACTTAGATGACAGCTACATTGGTTTGATATAAAAGGAGCAAAAATTGAGAAGGTACCGTTTTTGACCAAATACTAAAATTTTAGTTATTATATCATAAAACTGCACAAAATCTCTTTAAAAAGTTCGTGGATTTTTGGGAACACTATGGAAAGCACTTTGTCAACGCTAGAAATTTAGATTCAACCAAAATTCACCAAACTTTGAAAATTCTGGTTTTTTAAAAAATTGATGTCTTAACAACGACCATTCCTGAAAGCTTCAGCTTCAGCTTTGGCTGTAAGAAAACTAGTTCGAATTTTTTCACCCATTCGGAATTTTTTCAATCATCGAAGTTACTGCAGATTTGTTTTTATCGCATAGCGAGACAATTTTGGAACAGGAAAAAAAATTTTGCAGATTTGTTTTTATCGCATAGCGAGATAATTTTGGAACAGGAAAAAAATTTCTCTCTTAAATCACCTTTCGAAGGAGATTGTTGTCTCAATTACTATCTTTTCTTGTAAGGCATGTGCAATTAAATGTGCAAGCTAAGTTATTGTTCAAAATTTCTGCTCTTTTTCTTTTTTGGTGTGCCTGAACGAGTACCGGACATTCTTTACGCGTGGCAACTAATTCACGAATAATCACTCTTAATACTAAACTTGATCACGACTCAAAATTTATTACTAAAAATTTGAAAATATAAGCCTCCAATTGAAAAACTGCCAATTTTTCATGAATAACAAATCAAGTTCAACTAAAGGGCAGTCGGAATTTCAAAATTTTTCCATGATAAGAGCAGTCTTGTGTTATTTTTAAAAAGATTTATATTCTCTTATGTTTGATTTCTGTCGATCCTTGTTTCAATCGCTTGGTTGAAACGGCTCATCTTCAAAAAAGCAATTTCATCTATTTTTCAAATTTCAGTAAATTGAATAGCGGCTTCCAAACCATTGATCTCGAAAAATGACACGCGGCTAAAATCGAATGCTCCTAATCAACAATTTTGTCAAAAGCGGAAACTTTGCATCAACAGGGAAATCAGCTGGAAACTTAACCCCCTTTGAAAACAATGAGCATTTGATTGTACCTGCATTGTTCAAACATAAAAACTAAATCAAGACAATTTCGATTCTCAAAAAGTAAAATTACTAAGAATCACGACCTTACCTCCATAGATCAGAATGTTTATCATCCAATTCCATAAAATAAGTCTATAAAAAGTTCTAATCATAAAAATTTCATGTAATTTTTTAAAATGTAATCAATTGCTCGAAAGAAAAAAACGTTTCTTGTATTGGCATAAAAGTCAGTGTATCGTCACATATGTAAAGGCAAAGTTTTTGTCAGAAAAAAATGCTATTTATACAATGCCATATGTGGAAATCATTTAAATAGCTTTTTTTTATGGCGATAACTAATTTTTTTTACCAAAAAGAATCTTTCAAATGTCCCCGAACTTATACATAACTTTTTCAATTACAAAACAAAATTTGTACTTCAAGCCACTTTCCAAATTTTTTTTCCTCATGCCAAACTTTATTTTTTTAAGTACAAAAGTCGTAGATACACAAAAATCAGATTTTTTTCCCATTTCTATGGATAATGTTTTCCAAAAACGCTCAAAACGCTTTTTTGTATATCATGTTTTATCTATGACTTGGTCATTTAAAAGTTCGCTTTAAAACTTTTTTAAAAACTGCCACAATTTAAAAGGTGTTATTTTAAGACAATATATCAGATGTGTAAGACAATTTTAAGACAACTCAGGTTGTTTCAAGTGTATTGTAAAAACAAGACGGTCAAAATTTTGGCAACACTTTTCTTGCAATGCTTTAAGTACAAAAAAAGGCAAACAATAACTATAATTAGTGATTTTTGATATATGTAATTTTTATGACTAGCATTTTTTGGAAACAAATATTAAGTTTTGTACAATTTATTTTGTGAATTATTTTGGGTTTTGTTTGTAATCGAAGTCATTTGAGAGAAACGTGATTTACTCAAACTAGGAATCGGTTACAAAAACAACCCAAAAAAAGTTCGAGAAGAAAATATGAGAAGGAAGAACAAAATCATTTTTTATAATGATTTTCATAAATTTTCCATATATACGAAATCTCTAATCAAATACTTTTCATCATTTTTCTGTACTTACGAAATTTCATATGATTAAAGTTTTCTAAATATGAAACACCACGTATGAGGAGCTTTTTTTGTTCAACCAGTGTTGTAATCCAATGAAAACTCTCTCGTCATTTGCGGTCAACCAGTCTTCTGGTCAAAAATAAGCCAATTTGATGTAAATAACGATGAAAATGATGCTATGTAATATGTTAATCCGTTTTCCTAAAAGTAATTTGACAGTTCCAAAAATTAGTCACACTGCTGAAAATATTGAAAAATTTTTATATTCACTGCTGAAAAATTTTTATATTCATTTTCAGGGTTTCTTGCATAAAAGAATTTGCATTTCGTACTTTCAGTCAAAAAAGATTGAATTAAACTGCTACTTTAGGTAAAAGCGAACAACTTTCAACAAAACCTGGTTAATGAGGCGAAGAAAAACTTATTATGCTACGCAAGTTTTTTCAAAAACCCAAAAAAAAACGTGCAATTTACTTTAAATAAGACCATTAACTCATTTAAAATTATTCATTTAAAAAATAATAAATTGTTCAATTATCTTTTGAAGCAAATAACAAACTGCTCGTACATCAAAGCAAAGCATTTAATGTCCCATTCAAAGCAAAGCATTTAAGAAGCTAAAATCTAAAATAACTCACAGAAAGTGACAGAACATGTCACTCAAGTGGCAGAAGCATTCAAAGCAAAGCATTTGAGCAGCTAAAATCTAAAATTATTCACAGAAAGTGACAGAACATGGGTTTTTGGTTGGCTTTTTTTTTGCATTTGTAGATGAAGTTTTTTGTTATCTTCCGACAAGCATTGTTGTTCAGAGCTTAAACTTACAAAAAATAATAAACTTGAGATTTTTTTCTACAGTTATGACTATTTAAAGATTCTCAATGTGGTCGATTTGTGACGATTAACGAGCCCAATTTTTTGTGCTATTAACTTTTCAGCGGAGTGTTTATCAGTATTTGAAATTTCAAATACTTGGCCACGATGTGAGCAGTCTTGTTGTTCCGACTTTCGTAACGAAAGTAATTGTTCTGACTTTCGTTACGAAAGTAACGGAATATTTGTGTTCGGGTTGGGTTTTTTTTCTTCCGACAAGTTTCGACTTTTCAACTCATTCAA